GTCTTTTTCCACCAATCAGAGCTTCAATTTGATGCTCAATTTGATCGTGTAACTGGACCGTTACGGAAAAACGACGTATGAACCTTCAATCGTGGCCACATTTTTTTCGATAAAGAACGAATTTTCAAGGGAACTTTAGGATATCCGAAATCAACAGAGTTTCATTCGCCATTGTGAAAATTTTGATAAATAATATTTGTAAGTTTCCTTGAAAAGTACTGTTTCAAAGGGGGAAGTTTTCGCAATATCCACAAGTTTATACGGTGTTTTCTCTTACCACGACATAGTGTCGCACGCATTCATTCGTTATAATAATGTTGTTCCTTCAAACCCGACGGGGGAAATCTGTATGTATTTACAGCGCCTGAAAGTTTAAGAATCGACACTAAATATTCAGGAATTAGCTGAAAAAAGTCTAATCCTTTAATCTCGTATCCTTGTTTCATTTTGGTGCAAATGTACAATCTGAATCCACGAGAAGGCCACACCCAAGGAAGAAAAGGAGAGGAGATACTTTTGGACTGAGATCGTTGTTAGTCTTCATACTCTTTTTAACTGGTGTGTCTAACCTTCATTTAAACCTATTTTGGAGATATGGAATCGCCAAACTCACAAAAAAGAGAAGAATTTACGTGCTTGCTCTATCATCGGCCAAGACCGCATATGTTACCTATATCCGTCGGCTAACTTGGGCTTTCACAAATGTTAAATACTCGCTCAAATCAAGATCGTTTCGTCAAACAGTCCGTTTTAAATCCTTCGTCCGGTTCTTTCTATCAAAAACCACCGTATTTAGAGCTCAACGCAGCAATATGAACTCGTTTAGAGATCTTAGGTATCTGATCGAGATCCGATCAGCCAATTACGTAAACTTGTTTAAGTAGGTGAAAATTCGCGTGAATTACTGAAAGAATTCGTACTATTTCGGTAGAGCTTTAAAAGAGAGAAAACCCCAACAAATTAAATGATGTGAATGTTCAGGAGAAACTACATATACTTATGATAAAGAATTATACATAATAATCACGAAGTTTACTGAACAGATCATAAATATTTTGCACGAAAAAGCATGGGAAAATGAGTTTCTGTTCAATTTTTTTCCTTTCGTTCGGTGGAGAAGAGGCAAAGAGAGGGAACAGGAGAAACAGCTACATTAAAATGCGCAAGTAAAAATATCCATTTCATTCTTTTTTTCTTCTATAACATCCGTAATATGATGAACAATCACTCCTGTACATGCCCCAAGTTGAAGTTGAAAATTGTAATTTCCTGAACAGAAAGAGTAAGTATTACGCATCATCTCACTCAGTTTCTTCAACTATCAGAGGCTGTTGTCGCATCCTTTGTATAGTACCTATACAGGGTGTACCAAAAGTCCGTCCCACCCCTGCTAACTTTTGAACGAATTAAGCTAGGGTAATGAAACTTTGGGAATGTTCCTATCTCAAATGGGGACCATCTTTTGGGGGGGTCAAAATTTTGGTCCTCCCTCAGGGGGGGCGCGCGGGGCCCCCAACTTTTTTTTTTCAAATGGCAACCCCTATCTTGTGATACATCATTCGAAAGAGCATAAAAAACTAAGAATTTTGGCGCAAACCGCAGATCAATATCTTAATTTTTGACCGAGTTATGATAGGTCAAAGATCAAATTTGACCTATTTTCAAAAAATCATAACTCCGGTTCAAATTATCGTAAAAAAAAAAATAAAACGGGAAAATTTACCAAACTGTGTCCGCTTTTAAGTAAAAATTGCAGAAATCACTTCGCTGTAATTTTAAGGGGGGGCTCGGACCCCCAAATACGTCAATTCAAAGGTCATTCAATTTTCCCGCGAAAAAAGGCAATTTCCCCTAGATTTGCCTCCACATTATCTCAGTAAGGTCAAAATTAGTTCAACATTACGTTGGCAAGTCCCCAAATTTCGGGAAAAGTTTAAAAAAAAACGAAATTTAAGGTGATTAAATTTGACCGTTTAAATTTCGTTTTTTTTAACTTTTCCCGAAATTTGGGGACTTGCCAACGTAATGTTGAACTAATTTTGACCTTACTGAGATAATGTGGAGGCAAATCTAGGGGAAATTGCCTTTTTTCGCGGGAAAATTGAATGACCTTTGAATTGACGTATTTGGGGGTCCGAGCCCCCCCTTAAAATTACAGCGAAGTGATTTCTGCAATTTTTACTTAAAAGCGGACACAGTTTGGTAAATTTTCCCGTTTTATTTTTTTTTTTACGATAATTTGAACCGGAGTTATGATTTTTTGAAAATAGGTCAAATTTGATCTTTGACCTATCATAACTCGGTCAAAAATTAAGATATTGATCTGCGGTTTGCGCCAAAATTCTTAGTTTTTTATGCTCTTTCGAATGATGTATCACAAGATAGGGGTTGCCATTTGAAAAAAAAAAGTTGGGGGCCCCGCGCGCCCCCCCTGAGGGAGGACCAAAATTTTGACCCCCCCAAAAGATGGTCCCCTTTGAGATAGGAACATTCCCAAAGTTTCATTACCCTAGCTTAATTCGTTCAAAAGTTAGCAGGGGTGGGACGGACTTTTGGTACACCCTGTATATTCACATTATGGCAAGCGTTTTAGATCACTGTCTCGCAGAACGCTCATGTGAGTTTATCACTGGAAAAAAAACACACATTGGATCTAGAGTCCAGACTCCTAAAAACATCGACAAGAAAAAGTTCTCTTGATTCAATCAGAATCTAGCTTAAATATCAAGAACCAACCCTCTTAATTTAAGCGGATTTCGTTTTAATTCAAGCAAAAATCCGATTGAATCAAGAGTATTTTTTCTTGTCAATGTTTTCAATAAGAGTCTGAACCCTAGATCCAATGTGTTTTTTTTTTCCAGTGTGGGTGAGTTGAGGGGGTCAGAGTAGGAGGACTCAGTTGTATTGCAGTATTCCCAAGATTCACCTGGAAATGAATTTATTGACTCAAAAATCGATTTTTAGATCAAATTTGGGAATCTTCCGGAATTTGGGCTAACTTTCATTTTCTTTTGATGAATATCTATTAATATACTCATTTTCAAACATGCACTTGTTACAAAATAAATAAACAAGCTGCAATATGAAACTCAGCGACGTAATTGGAGACAATATTTTTTTGAGACCCCCTACTCATGGGTGGAACTAGGAAAGTTTAGTGGGGGAGCCATATAGACTTATTCGGGGGGTTTGGATTGCACCCCACTAAGAAAGATCTGTGGGACTCTCCCAGCTCCAAAGGCCGATTTGAGGGATTTTTCGGGATAAACGAGGCCGAAGGGCTTTCCCGAAAAACATTGAAAAATTGTATCGTCTCCCCGGACTGATTATTGAAATTGATAGACAAAGTTATAGACAAAGAAGACGTAGGGAGTATAGAGCTATCATGTTGGTTGCAACTGGTGATTCTTTCTGACAGACTAAAGGAGAAAATGATGGACTAACTATCAGGTCCTTTGTCGGTTGGCGTACAAGTTAGTCTATTACTTACCTTCTTCATCCATTGCAACCACCCGCTTCCACCAACAGGATCCCACCATAAACCTATTTTGTCTTTTTCGTCTGTAGCTATGTCTATGATTTCCATTATCGGCCCGCAGGAGCAATTTTGAACTGTTCTCACCCAGAAGTTGATCGTTGCAATTCCAGATGAAAGCCCCCGCTTACGATGATCCCGTGCTTACTTCGCAAAATCCCTCACATTTCAAGGGAGGGGCTGAGTAGATTTCTGGGGGGGAGGGGGGATTTTTTCCCGTGCCCTCCTCTTTTCGTTAATTCCCTATGTCTTCTTTGTACATCGCTTTGTCTATCAATTTGAACAATCAACCCAATGCGGGTTCTCACAGACATGGTGAGTTACCAGGAGCTATGAATTATTGCGAAGCCAATTCTATCACCGAGTTGAGTGTTCGAACATTAACACGTGACGATCGGTCAAAAACTAGCTGATAGAATGATAGAGCTTTGTCGAGAATTTGGAAATAGAATTTGGCAACCAGAGATGGCAAAACTGCATCTAGGTATTCGTATTTGTAGCTACAGAGTAGCAACTAACCAAATATATAAAATCGGTAGATCTCTAATGAGCAGCTTCGGCTTATGATTCTTTTAAGGAGCGACATAAAAATGAAATAACCGCGTGGTTTATGATCAATTTTTCCATTTTCGCCGAATCGAAATGATCTATATTCCTGCACGTTTTCGCGTGCGGTGAATTGAGTCTCGGAACGAACAGCCACCAAAAAATTTGTGAAATTGATACCTCTGAGTTGACTCTGTGTTAAGAGGGACACTATTTTGAAATTTTCAGAAGGGACACCTACTTTGAATTTCAGAGAATCTCGTTGTAGGAGGAAAATCACGGAAATTTCGATAAACTCTAGCGTTTCTGACCTTTCCACGTTTTGCGAATTGTAATCTTGAAACTAACATGCAGTTACTGAAGTGGAACGAATGAGGGCTACTGAAAAGAGAGAGAATTTGGATTACTTCTATAAGAAAAATTCTAAGTGAATATGAAAATGGCAACATACCAGCGTTTCTAGGCATTCTAATATATGCTTCTGTAATAATTAGGGTGTTGTCGAGGCAATTCAGTTTCTCGGAATTTTCAAAGTATGGTATGCATTAGGTAATGCATACATGTTACAAATAATCTCTGGAAAAACTCAAACACATAGTGCAACAGTTTGCATTTTGAAGTAAAAATGCAAAACAGTTTTTTGCATCAGAGGCAGGATTATCACGTAAAATTTAAATTTTACCGACGATTTGTAAATATACTATATCGCCGCTCTTTTAAGTTCAAAAAATGCATTAAATTCTTTCAATAAGTTCGATAAACATATCATGACGCAAAATTTTAGCTGTGTAAAATAAAAGATTGGCAAAGATACCAAAACGGTCCACAGACTGACATAATTCCCACTTTAAAAAGTTCAATGAAGAAAACCGAGATTAATCGTACTGATTTTCTCATGGTGTATTTTAAAATTCCTTACCGGTGGTCTTAAATCAGTATCCGGCAGTTATCTCCGATGGTATAATCCGATGGTTCAGTCCAGAGTATCACAATTTTCACATATTTTTCGCGTATCCGATCAAATTTTGAAACAGTTCGCGCTCGCGACGCACCTTCGCGGCAAAACCGCCGCCAAGTTCGCACTAAACACGGCGTTAACCAGGCGAGCGAGTAACCGTGGTCATGAAACTGACATTTTCGACTCGATCGTGAAGACAGGAAGGAAGGCTAGCTGCGGAGGAGTGCGGTAAGGTTGCGGGTGGGAGCAGGGCCGCCACCGCGGACCCCGNGGGGGGGGGGGGGGAATAATTGTTCGGAGGGGGGACGAAGTGGAGGAGTAGGTGTAACTTTGAAGCGATCTCGGCTCGCAATTACTCGTTTCGTACCAATGGGAGACACTACGGTGCGAGTGGGATCGATGACAGAATCAATGGACGATTGTGAAGTTCGCCTTCTCCGTTTTAATTCGTGCCGAGTAAAAATTTGAGAGTGTACGTCGAATTGGCAACGCTGTTGATAGGAGCTAATCACTGGTGGCTGTTAGTGTTGACATTAGAGCGCGAAGACGATCGCGGCGGCGGCGGCGCTCTTTGAGCGGGTCGCCTGTGCCGGTATGACGCGCGTCGCGGCGCTGTTCTCCGTGCCAACGGAAAAAACGCCGTATGAACATTTGCACGTTGTCGAATTTCCCTTAATAAAAAATGTATTCCGGAGGAAAGTTATGCATATTTTTCCTTGAAATTTTCAGACGTTATAAATTGAATTGCGTACAAAATTGTCTGAAGATTGGAAGAAAGATATGTATGAAACTTTCCCATTAGATGCGTATTTTATGAAAGGAAATTTGGCAACGCCTGATGGTTTTTACGGTTTTTTCCTTAGTAGTGTTGCACTTGCGCCAGTAGCGTGGCGTGCTTTGCGATACATCGATTGATACGCCACTCAAACCTATGAAAAAAGATCGATTATTAGGGTGTTCGCAGCGAACACCTTAGTAATCGATTCTTTACCACAGCTTCAAATGGCGAGATATCGATAATCGATTATTCACGCCATGCCACTGACTTGCGCATGTAGCAGCATCTCCTCTTTCTATCACTCACAGACCCAACTTAAGAATATTAAAAGTTTATAAACCTCTTGGAAAAAATCATTCCTCCAATTAGATCCATTTCTTCCTCTTCTTTATTTTTTCATGATACAGGAACCTATACTATTAGTATTCGTGGCCAACTATTTTACTGACAACTATTTGCGCTGCGAGCTCGGGGAGACGGCGCGATGCTTGAAGTATCCCTGCAGGTTTGCAGGCGCTTATCCCGTGAGCGTTTTTCGCGTGAAATTCAAAGTTTCGGAAATTTTCTTCCGGAAGATTAGGTCCCTTTTTCACTGATCCGGTCTTGACTATGAAAAATCTTTCTCGCATATCCAAAACACCGAAAAAGGAGCTGGAATTCATTTTCGCTGACTCAGAGATTTTAACGCATAGAGCAGAAAAGTTGGATGGGGCGAAACGCGTGATACAACTATTTTAACTTCCGAGATGATGAAATTGCATGTCCACAAAATGAAGGAGAACCTAATCTCTCTTCGGCTGACTCGGAGATTTTCACGCTGGAGTAGAAAAGTTGGATGGGGCAATACACGTGATTCGACTATTTTGGCTTCCGAGATGATGAAATTGCATGTCCACAAAACGAAGGAGAACGTAAACTCTTTTCGGCTGACTCGGAGACTTTCACGCTGGAGTAGAAAAGTTGGATGGGGCAAAACACTTGAAACGACTATTTTGACTTCCAGAAGATAAAATTACAAATCCACAAAATGAAGGTAAAGTAACGTATTTTTAGCTGACACAGGAATTTTAACGCATGAGTAGAAAAGTTGGATGGGGCAACTACCCGCGATGAAATTAACATTTTTAGTGTTTTTTTCTTCTAACTAATGAACAGATCCCAGTTTCCTTTTGGGTGATGTCCTTCCATTCGTGGTCTAAACATTTCTTTTGTTTAAATTGTGTCCATCCCTGTCCTCCGACCTCGTAGGTTTGGCAATGGAGTAGAACGGAAGAACCGCACGCGCTGAGATGCTAGCATGCATCCCATGGCCGGAAATTAAGGTTGTTAGCCGGTTGGGCGGTAATGCACAAGGCATAATGATCGTTGCAGTCTCCAATCAAGATCGACGATCGACACTGCAGCTCCAAACACAATAGAAGCTTTTCGAATAGCTCCTAGTTAAGAAAATGTTATACGTTCCGAAAGAGAGGTAAAATACTGATACTTAATAAAAAAAGAGGTATATTCATTACGTTAACCTCGGTGAGCGTAAATACCGCTGCAACACAAAGCTGGTTGGAGAGACCGGTTGACTCGCCGATAAAGAGATATACCCAGCATCAAGTTCGTAATTTTAATGAAGGAGCAAGGGAATGGGGGAGAGAATACTTTAATTGGGATCGAGAGAAATCGGGACTAAAAAATGATGCGAGGATGAATGGCAATCGACGGCTGCTGCGTCAAAATTCCTGGGTGCAGAAGAATGAAAGTCGATCACATTCAGTCTGTATAAATCGATGGCTAAAGTGCAAAACCACGTAATTCCGTCGCCGTGTTTCGAAATCTCACTGGAAAAAAAATGGATCTAGAGTTCAGACTCTTGAAAACATTGACAAGAAAAAATACTCTTGATTCAATCAGATTTTTGCTTAGATCAAAAGGAAATCCACTTAAATTAAGGGGCTCGGTTCTTGATTTAAGCAAAAATTCGACTGAATCAAGAGTATTTCTTCTTGTCGATGTTTTTAAGAGTCTGGACTCTAGATCCAATGTGTTTTTTTTTCCAGTGCTCCGCTCCTACTTTAATTTTCCTTAAAGAAAGAAGTCGACTTCATGGCTTGAAATTTATACAGAATATTCTGCTTACTAAGAAAAAAAAACAAAGAGCTTTTCAAGATATTATGATGACTAGTTTGCCTGCGACATGTACATTAAGGAGAAAATATATACCTACATGCAAATGTTTGTATTTCCTTTGTATGGTCTGGCTAACTATACTTTTTTAAGAGTTTTTACCCTTTATTTTTTCTAGTTTGTTTTTGTTGTAAATTTTTCGTCGTGCGCTACTAGGTGTTAGTCTTGCCCCTTGCACATGCGCTCGCAGTAGCTTTCATGAATCAATACTGCAGTGGAAATACATCATTTGAATTATGAGGCAGGAGAGAATAAAGAAAAGAGTCAAGAATCGCCTGTATGTTGTTGTCGATCGTAGGTACAATAGTTCATCGAACCCGGGCGATTCATTTGCAATATTCCGTCGGAGTATCGCAAGCATTTTAAGTACCAGCAAGAATGTGTCAGATGACTGGCAAGAATTATCCCCTCAACGTCTAATCCTCAGGATAGTGCGCGCATGGATCATACTCAACAAAATATTTTCGAGTATGATGCTTTCAGCGATCCCTTTAAACTGGGCCATCGTGAGAGCAGCTCAAACTTGTCCTCTCTTCGGAGAAGGCTCCGACTTAAATTTTGGTTTCACTTTTGATCTCAATCGAGATATCTATCCAAAATGATCGACCAATGAAAGAGAGCCTGCAAAAATTCACCGATGCTTTAATTTGTTTCTTACCCCATTCATCAGTTCTTTGGGTTTTTAATGATCATTGTTCCGGTTTGACTAATGTTCTTTAGAAAAGAGATTACAGTTTTTATCATTCATTTTTCAAATAACCGGTGGAGATTCGTTTGCATGAATAAATAAATGACACATGGATTGTGGCAAACAAACCAGTCAACCACTTTGAGCCTTTAAAAAAAAGAAAGAAAAAAAAAACCTATTCGTCTATCGGGAAAAAATTGGTTTTTAGTCGTTTGGGGTTTTTGAATCGTACTTTTAAAAAGAGCAGAAGTCCATTTTCGGATTTTTTTTTACTCTCATTTTTTAACCCTTCAGTTGTGCTAACCATGATGTCCGAGAAAACAGCGGTAGTCCGCTTCTTGGAAAGCGAACGGTAGGTACACGCACGCAGGAACTCTAATATCACGCAAAAACGTCAAACACACAAAACACGTCAAAGAAACAAAAACGTTCGACGTCTAACGTCAAAAATGCAAAAAATAGTTTGAAAAATTGAACTTCCGCCTTTGATGAAAGTAGTAATTTACTTGTAGGGTGTGTCACACTTAAAAATGTCCCAATTCTTTGCGTCAGTCTTGGCCTTCCAATCGCTGGAATATAACACAGCGGGCGTATGAGTCGCGAATTCAAGAAATGAACTTTTCTCGAAGAGCCAAAATGTCCACCTGAATTAGAAATCAATTTTACTGTGATGTAAAACAAAATGAATCGGGCTCCTTCCGAGAATCGCCATCATTGTCTTGGAATGCCCGCTGGTGAGAAAGGTGAAAAACAATGGCGTGGCGTGCTTTGCGATATATCGAGTCATCAGTCATTTAAAGCTATGGAAAAAGATCGATAAATAGGGTGCTCGCAATGAACACCTTAACAATCGATTTTTTACCGTAGCTTCAAATGAAGACTTATCGATAATCGACCATTGACGCCTCGTCACTAATGAAAAAGGAACTTGGTAACGGGCGCGCACAGCAGGAGGAAAAAATTATTGCCACCTCTAAAGACAATTCTGGTTTTTAAGGATGATTCAACGAGTACTTTCCTTTGTCATAATACTCACATTCTCTGGTAGCAACGACGGTTCATCTCACTTTTCAAAAAGTCTTGAATTTAAAAAATTTAACTGTTTCAAAAAATTGTTGGAATATATGTTTCCGGAAACTCATGACGGGTATTTTTTAAATTTAAAATTATGATTTGTAAACTTTCAACGAAGAGAATTTTGGAAAAAACTCTTGAAATATCTATAGTATAATTTTGTAACATTTACGTGTGTATTATTTGAAAAAACAATATAGAAAAATAATAAGCTAGTAAGTTTTTTTAGATTTTATATTACGTAAATAATTACCAAGCGTAAATTTTGCTTTCAAAAAATTTCCAAACAGGGTCTCCAAAGACAAAATTTTAACAGGTTTTTAAGGGTTTTTGAAAATTGTGTTTTAATAATCGACTGAATGTTCGCGGGGATAATTCACCATACGCGGACCGACGAAAGTATGATTGGGATCAAAGATTTTCAGTAACTCGACAGTTTAATACTTTGCGAAATTAAATAGGTATTTCTTTTTATTATTTTTGGTCAAACAGGTCATTTTTTTTAAATGGTATTTTAGAGAGTTTCAGCAGTTTTGGTCGCCAAAAAAAAAAAAAAAAAAAAAATAAATTCCTTGTTCCCAGATCCAATAATGTAAAGACAATATCAAGCTCAGATTTGTTATTTCATTTGTTTCGTCTACAGCTTGGTATGGCGTGTGACGATATTTACCCACTCTTGGCTAATGTATGAACGTTTGAGACTGGTAAACTTTATCTTTGTTTAAAGTTGGTATCTACCGCCAATATAAGTGAGGCATAAGTGTCTCTGCACTTTAATTTTTGAGATTTGTTCTTTAATCTTATCGAATCTTCCATGTAAGCGTTCAGATTAGGTGCATACATATTTGCTTGCAAAAAATCTCGATGCTTTCTGCGCTCAGGTTGCAGAACAATGAGTTTTGTTTGCACGAGTTGTGCATGACCGATCCGTTTTCCTCCTGAATTTTCTCATTTTTCCCATCCTTTATAACTTACTCCAGATACATTCAACCTATAAGTATTAAATTTTGACCCTAGAATGACGTAAAAATCCACTAATGAAAACTCGATCTCGTGTGAGAACATTTGAAAGATTGAGATTTTGACTGATAACCTGAGAGTATTATGCAGCATATTCGGAAACACTCAAAAGAAACATTAAAAGAAACACTTAGACTCCGTTTTGCAATTGTGGAGACAGCTAATTTGGGCTCATATCGATAAAAACACCAATCTGCACTTGAAATTCAATGGCACATATGTTGTTTATAAAAAAAGCCAGAAATTGAATTCCCATATCACAAAATGTAAAAAAGTTTTTCATGTTCATCGTTTGTCGACAGGTGACATTGAAGATGTGTATATTTTCCTGGAAAATTAGCACTTAAAAAAGACGACATTGTCCTACTTTCAATTCCTAATGCTGCTCTTTACTTTCAATTTTGCAATGACTTCTTTTATTATTCGTAATTTCGATTTTATGATGGCGTTTTTCAATTTGCGTATTAAATAATCGTCGCATGTCGTTTCCTTCGATTTGAAAGATTTTGATTCATATTTGGACGAAAACATTTTTTTCTCTACCTCTCTCCTGTGCCAGCAGGAATAGCTCAAGACCACTAGATCTCATTTATTGAAGCTATATGTGTCTTTCTCTCACGTATCCGGTCATAGCTTGATTAGAATGAAACGCTGAAGCAGGGCCATGATCTCCTATGTAACGTCCGCACAGTTCGTCGCACCTCTGACGTAAGAACGTATCTTTATTTCCACATGACCCCCGGAAAGAATAGACTTATACAGAGGACAAGGCTCACGAGGGAACTGAGATACGCCCTTACGTCAGAGAAGCGACGCGTTTAGTATGCGAGTGGCGTGGTTTCAGACGTTAAAATTGGATATCAGTGTCAAATAAAGCTATGAGGTCAACTACACGCAGACATACACCTGCGTCCTGCGACCTGCCCTGGTGTTACGTCCAGCGTCCCGAGTTCGTTTCCGAAGAGGCAGCTTTGGAACTGGTCGTCCATATTTGATATGATATCGATTACTACCGGTTAATGGATCGTCATGAATGGTTTAGGAGTTGAAATAACATAGTAGGAAAAATTATGTCACACGCGATTTCGTGTGAGTAAAAACGTTATCTTCTAACGAGGGATATCGAGGATATTTTCCTTCAAAATTTTGACGATGGCATTAACCAGCATAAGGCGGGTCCAGACACTTCGAACGGGGGTGTGAGGGAGTTCTGGGGGCCTCTTGCAGAATATTTTTGAAGCATCTAATATGCAGTTTGGGTCAGTTTCGTTATGAATAGTTACCAAGTGTATGAGGGTCTTTCCATCTTCATTCCCCTGTCCCTTCCCTCTTTCTTCCCTCTCCTCTTCTTCCTCCTTTTTCGAGCGAACAAAGGGGGGGGGGGCGTATGCCTCTTACGCCCCCCTAGAGCGGCCTACCTATACTGGTGGCAGTGAATTTTGAAAATCGTGGTCCAAAAATTGATCAAATTTATTCTGCGGGAAACCCTTTTTCGGGATTCTTTTAAAGTATGTATGTTTGATAAAATTTACGCATGTTGAACTTCTTTAAAAACTACCTCATGCTTTGTCAAGACATGATCAACACTTTTTAAAACATATTAGTGATAAAAACCACTCACATCTTTCAAAGTTTTTAAAACTTTTTTTACTTAACTTTCACGAGTAATCAGTTCTAATTATTGTATTTTATTATTAATTTCGCTACCTGTACTTGCGGGAGCTATCACTAAATTATTAATAGATCGTAATTTTAATAGGTCTTTTTACGATCGTTTGGGAGGAAGAGAACCAATTAAATATACATTTTATTCATCAAGCCAAACAGAGCTTTCTCTTGCAAATTTTAATACTATTCTAGACTTTTCTTTTTAAAATGTACGAGTTTTTGAAGGTCCTTTTTAAACTGTTATTGCTATTAATTTGCAATTTTAGCAACTTCCGAAACTTAATATAGCCAAGGTATACAACACTCCAAACCTTTGCTTTAACCACACAAAAGCGCCTCTCAAACTTCAAAATATGCTCATTCCTACATTTTATCTTGTCCCAACTTAAGGAGTCTTTAATTTTGTGCAGGTCCCCAAGATCTCGTAACAACCTCATTGACACATAAAATATCGGCGAGAGCGTAAAAAAAAAAAAAAAAAAAAAAAAAAAAAAAAAAAAAAAAAACCATGCAGGCCAGAAAACGGTCCCGTTTAATATAATGAAAAATTCGTAAATAAAAAATAGAGAAAAATGTATTTACATAATTTAACAAACGTCAATAAGATGGATGTATCTACACATTGATGCTGAATTACATTCAATAGTCCTCTGAAAAACACTTCCAGCGTCATTCAAGAACAAGCGATGCCATACTCAACGTTATTGTATAAAGGAGGTGATTGCTTTTTGCACGAGAGAAAGTTTTTAGAGGTAGGATCAAGATTTTTTGACGGAACTGAGTAAAAAAAAAAAAAAATGTAAGGCATTAAATGATGATGCAGCCCCAACAGCAGGTTTGAGGATAATCTGGTGCGTGAACTTTCTTTTCAATCCCGTAGACGAAGAACTCTCCGTCATGGCCCTTCCATGTGTACTTGATAAGTGCCACAGGCACTACTCGTATTCTTTGTCTCTGCAACACAGAAACATCATAATTAAAATCCACACATAGGCGGTCCACCGAGTGCCTGCGGGTATCGCGGAACTTGACAGCTAAATTTTTTTTTTAAGAACAAGAGGTCTGTTCATCCGTTCCTTGGCGATGATTCTCATTGAAGTCAGTATACATGAATGAAGGGTTAGTGTTTTCTTTTAAAATTCGAGGCAACTCTTTGCCGTCGTGGTTTTTTACTACAGGGGTTCTTAAATTTGGCTACCTTTCAACGCTCATAGCGAAATATCATAAAATTAAGGAATAATCAGCTTAAGTTTAATTAAATTTACCTTAGTCTTGCTTTGATAATGAATAAGTACATTAGAAAACCCGTAATTCACTAAACGAAAAGTGCTTTTAAAAACTTTGCACGAGGATCAATGTTTTCTGCCAAACTCTCCAACGAATACTCATCGTCGTGGCTTTCCGTCGAGAGTGAGATAAATATACGATGGACAAATTGAAAAAAAAAACAAGAAGAAACATCCAACATGAATATGTTGGAAAAGCGTGCCGAAGAACTGAAATCTTGTGTGTGCACTATTTCCATTTCAACGAGATGTGTATAAATTACGTCCGTCCGCAACTCTCGCTTACAATGAGTCGGGCCTCTAACCTTCCATATACTCTCTGGCAGAGAGTAGAGAAGGTTAGAAGCGCCATCTTAGAGAGTAGTGACGGAGAAGGGGTACATTGGTTTGCCTGCTGAGTGATATGAACCCGTCAATGGCCGATGGGTATGACGTCATTGGAAACTCGACATGCAGCCAACTTGGGTTTAACCGCTTTTGAAAAGACGCTGATTCGCTAAATAGTTATGGCGGCATTTAAACTTCTAAAGTACCTAAGTCCTCCGAGCGTAGAAAAGCTTATTTGACGTACCTATGAAAGAAAATAATACGGTTTCCACGGGAAAATGTTCTCAAGGGTTTCCAGTAACAGGATAATTCGGTTTCTCGATGAATGACCTTCAGGGCTTGACACTATAACGGTTCAAAAACGAAAGAACGGATCCGACGGAAAAAAAATTCGGACCGCCCCTTGAAAAGCATTGGTCGATCGGTGTGCTGTACTACAGTACATCCGAGTGATTTCAAAAAGCGAGCCCTATAGGCACGCTTAAAATAATAATAAATGGGCCTGTTGCACCAATTTTTTTTATTGCTTTAATCGAAAGACCTAAGGCTCCTGATGTCACAGGAATTTTCCCGGAGTTTTTTGATCACCGGAAACCCCCAAAAAATCAACTTAAAAACGCCTCAGAATTTGGATTTTCAAAACGGTCGTTTCGGGTCCGCCATACTTGTGACGTGAAATGATATGACAGACCTGGTTTCTTCATCACTTACAATGTATTTTCCCGTAAGGAAATGGCAGCCGCTTTTCAAATGCAAATATCGAGTCAATCGCTAATTTTTTGTTCAAAATTGTAAGCAGAAATGGATTCCTCGTACGTTTAAATGGTTAAAACCTTCATTTGATAAATAAGAACCGACGGGATAAACCCTATTTTTAAGGAAGACTGTAGTCAATGGGCGATTGTTTACATCTGCTTAGTGATAACAGACATGGACATTAGCTCAATATTTGGCCATTTTCATGAGTTTTTACTTGTTTGTCACTATTTGAAGGTAAGTTTATTTTGTAAATCAATTGTCTAGTGTCTAAGGATCATGTTAAAAGCTGTAAAGGTATACTTTGTTACTTATTTATTCAGAACACACTCCGGCAGTCCAACGCTCAAACCTGGATGTAGCGAGTCAGTTGTTATATCTTACTATTTCACCCTTTAATGCTTCACTGAAGACACCAAAATGATAGTATCAATCATTGATGATAAAAAAAACTTACCTTTGACAATACTGATGAGATGAGGAGACCGGTATGTTTTAGCTGGAGGCAAGGAAAGTAGACGTAGGATCCTTCTTCGATTACCAGACTTTATCGATAAATTTTTCTGTATAGTGTTACATTTAAAACACACAGGATTTTAAAATAACATAAGTTTATAAAACGTGGGAACGTTCTGAATGATATTGAGATGTTTGTTGAAGAGTTAAGAATGATTTACACGCATTGAGAGAACATCCAGGGTTTGAGCGTTGGACTGCCGGAGTGTGCTCTGAATAAATAAGTAACAAAGTATACCTTTACAGCTTTTAACATGATCCTAAGACACTAGACAATTGATTTACAAAATAAACTTACCTTCAAATAGTGACAAACAAGTAAAAACTCATGAAAATGACCAAATATTGAGCTAATGTCCATGTCTGTTATCACTAAGCAGATGTAAACAATCGCCCATTGACTACAGTCTTCCTTAAAAATAGGGTTTATCCCGTCGGTTCTTATTTATCTAATGAAGGTTCTAACCATTTAAACGTACGAGGAATCCATTTCTGCTTTCAATTTTGATCAAAAAATTAGAGATTGACTCAATATTTGCATTTGAAAAGCGGCTGTCATTTCCTTACGGGAAAATACATTGTAAGTGATGAAGAAACCAGGTCTGTCATATCATTTCACGTCACAAGTAGTCACAAGCATAGAATCCACCAATCACAAGTATGGCGGTTGAAAAGCGACCGTTTTGAATGGGTCGGTTCCAAAAACAGCTTTTTTTTGAGTTTGAGAGGTCATTTCAAGGTTTTTTAGTAGCGCCATCGTTCTTTTCGTGAAATTTGCCATAAGAATCAGGCATCAATTTGCAAATCCCCGCACCTTGCAACAGGCCCATTCTCCCCTTGTGTTTATAAAAAAAAATCGTATTTCCATTTCGGGATACTTAAAATATATCAATCGTAAGAAACTGGATTTTCCAAAGTTTTAAGGAGATAACTCTTCGACAATTCACGGAAAGCCTCTCGGACTTTTGCCCAGTCGCGCATTATTATTCGAGTTTTTCCCCCAAAAAGAGGGAAAAACAGAAGAATTAACTTCTTTGCCTCTTAACATTCTTTCTTCCTTCTCCGAAATTCTACAACATAAAAAAAGAGAGGAAAAATGAATAAATACAATGAAACTGAAAGGAAAAAGAAATCAACTCGATATACCTGGCAAATGATGTATTGATCGGCGTACAGTCTATGATGTTTCTTGATGAGCCTGTTGGAAGCATTTACCATCGCCTCTTCCGGGAAGTCGGATATTGGGCCCACGATTGAATTCTGCTCGTTGAAAACGATTTCCCCAGAAACTTCGCTGATGAGTTTCCTAGGGAGCCCCGTCCGCTCTAATATAAACTCCGAACTGTTGACCTTCCTTGAAACATTAGGACAAATCTTTAAAAATCATCATATCATTTACGGGAAAAAACAATCTTCCTTTAAACTTGTTCGAAGACAAATTATTACAGAGCGTGAAAAAAAATCAGAAATAAACAATGGAAAACTTAATTTGCCTTGCGCTTTCTTGAGTCAACATTACATGCATTATTTTGAATTTCAGAGGAACGAAGAAGAGTGAACATTTTAATCTGCAAAGTTCATGGCAAAAAATTATGGCACAATATCATAAGTTTTTTTTCTGCACTTCGGAGAGAGACTCTATAGTCGATCGATAAATTGAAAATTTAGAAGTACGTCCCGCATGAATATCGCAAATCGAGAGGCATAGGTAACTAAGCATTTGCGATTATCACTTGAACTTATTCAAGTTAAAATGAACTATACCCATTCTACATGAGCCCTGAGATCCATCAGAATACATGCATGATAGTGCTCAAACCAATAAATACATAGTCCCTTTTGATTTGAATACGCCCATTTAGAACGTACTTTTTTGTATTTTTCTTCAAAAATTTGAAGGGATATATGATTGTATTAAGTTTTGAGATGCTTTAGGTACTTACCACGTCACTGTTAGTTGAATATAACAAATGATGAGCCCTGAATTTTCGCATTGAGGACATCCCATTTTGCCGGTAGCACGACATTTGTTACAATCCATGCGCCCGTAACCGTGGTTTGAGGCTCGACAGTAGAAACATCGTTCTCGATACTCCGAATCGGCCGTGAATCCATCACCGTGACAATGTAAACATCGTATCTGTACCAACACATGGACTTCGTGTTTAATTTTTAATTTTTCTTCTTTTTTGAAAAAAACCTCACCACTACATACAGCCCAAACAAGAGTTCAATTCACTGGAAAAAAGACACATTGGATCTAGAGTCCAGAATCTTGAAAACATTGACAAGAAATACTCTTGATTCAATTAGAGCAGGGGCGTAGCTAGGAAATTTTTCTAGGGGGGGCCATGGGACCACCTCTCGTGGTGAAGAGAGCGAGGGAGGGGTGAGGAATGGAGGATCCCGTTTTTCTAGGGGGGGCCAGGGCCCCCCAGGACCCCCCTAGCTACGCCCATGAATTAGAGTTACGCTTAAATCAAAAGGAAATCCGTTCAAATTAAGAGGCTTGGTTCTTGATTTAAGCAAAAATCCTATTGAATCAAGAGTATTTTTTCTTGTCGATGTTTTTAAGAGTCTGGACTCTAGATCCAATGTGTTTTTTTTTTCCAGTGTTGGATTACATTTTGCATAAGGAACCACTGTCTTAGACTCTCCCATAAAAGTACATATCTGCATAGGAAACCGTTGGCATGTATGTTGTTTCAAGTGGGCCAGAAATGGTGGTTCCTTATTGCAAAATGTGATCGAATTAAGAGTTACATACTTGTACTCTACTTTTTAAAATATATACGCGTATACATGTAACATTTTTAGAAACCAACAGAATTCTATTAAAAATATGTGTAATTATCTTACTCATTTTGAGGAGACACTAAAATAAAATCTGGCATTACTCTTTTAGTCAGTATTCCGATGTTTGACCCATTCTTTGGATAAGCGTAACAGCTAAAACGTTCTTCTGCCGCCTTACAACTACCTACTCCTTCAATATCGCCCGATTTAGAAACGCCTTCTAAACGCTGGGTATGCAATTTTACCTTCATGTAAGGTACATTGCTGGTGTTTGAAAATGAAGTTATTCTCAAGCTTTCGGTGAAAGTCGGTGCGGCTTTCTCGGGTAATCAAATGAAATAGTATTGTTCTTGTACTTTTGTGCGCGATTATAATAGTGCGATTGGAAACGTCAATTTATAGTTTTTTATAGTATCCAAAAAATTTGAAGGTGATCACGCGAAAGTAACTGACGCTAAGGTTGGTGCGATTAGATATAGTTTATTTGTTACTTTTAGCTTGCATGAAAATTAATTTTTCGGCGTGGAGGTATAAAATTAAAAATCGTAATTTCAGAATAAAATTTGACATTTGGTACTTGTAAAAAATGGATGAAACGGACCCAAATTTTTTGTAAAAATATTTTTTTACCATGTGGTACCGATTGCCGCGTGGGGACACTAACATTCCAAATTTCATTTTTTTAATGCACCTTAATGGCCATCTCATAGAAAAAGAGTTCAGAGAGAATGCCAATGAACACTGAACGCGTGTTGACCAACGTCCATCCCATACTGTGGCAAGATGCTGCGGACGTAAGATTTTTCTGCATCCCGTTCTGATCTCAACATTGGCTCCGTTTCCGCCATTGATTGAGGGTTGTAGACATTTGTATCCTTTGCAGACGTGCAGGATGTAGACTCGATCGCGGATGGACGGTGTACACATAAACATACAGTATCCACTTCGGCAGGCGCAGTATAGGCAATTTGCACATCGGAAAGTATACGCGTAACGGTGTTGTGCTTGAAGTATTTCTACGATGTCGAAGGCGCTGCATTGGGTCCACGTTCGCACGCCTTTATTTGTCCGCAATAATTTGAATTGGCGACGTTAGGGAATTGATATTGATAGAAAAGCTTACTTTTTGCTGAAACCTCTGCAAGTGCGTTCAGGTTGAAATAATACATGTTTGACTTCCTGCTTGCACCCTGATTTTTGTATAAATAACTACAACTGCACTAATGTTTGTTGTGAGTTTTGTTAACGCTTTGACTGCGCTAATTTTTGTTACTTGTTACTTTGTTAAAGTTACTTCGATCGCGATTATTTGTTTTCGTGTACTACCTCGACCGTGGCAATTTTTCTACTTGAATTATTCCGATTGCCTAATTAAACTGTGCCAAGGGAAAATTTGTGGATTCTTGGCGAAAGCGTGCACTGAAAAACTATCTGCATCTCTGATCTTTCGCAATTTAAAATGAGTAATAACATGTCTATGTCACTATCAACGTCCGCAAGCCGATCAGTGAGCTGATTGTTGAAATTGATAGTCAAAGTTATGGACAAAAAAGACAAAAGGGATATGGAGGGTCCTTCTGGTGTAAGCGGATGGTTACAATGGACGAAGGACGTAGGTAATAGACTAACTAACGGCAACCCACGAGAGACCCTATGGTCAGACCATCATATTCTTCCTCAGTCTTCCTTAGGAGCTACCAATGGACCACTAGACAAGGTACGAATTTAAGCATTCTGATACATGGTTCTTGACCAAAATTTCACGTAGAGCACAATTTGCGCAACGAAAACAAATGAAACACACTTCAAACGAAGATATTAACGTTTTTATTTCACATTGGTTACGAGGAATTTGAACTGCCCGCTCACAAGAAACTCAAAGCTCTACGTGAGTCAAATCGCGCACTACAACGGTTTCAGCAAGCTTCTCAATCGAGCAATGTTCATTTCCCACCATGTGTTGTGCAAACTATTGGTAATTTGCTATAGCTGAGCCAAAGTGTCAAGATTGAAGTTGAAGATTTTTACATCGCAGAGACTGTCATGATAAACATTTAGCGCGCGATGTGAATCACGTAGAGCATTGAGTTTTCATGAGCGGGTGGTTTGAATTCACGCATCAAGAATCATTAAATATCTTCGTCAGGAGTTGATTTTGGTAATTTTCGTTGTGCGTATCGTGTTCTACGTAAAATTTTGGTTGAGAAACATGTATCAGAATGCTGAAATTTGTACCTTGTCTAGTGGTCCATTTCAACCATTAGGATCGATCCATACTCCCTATGTCTTCTTTCTCTAAAGCTTTGTCTATAAATTTCAATAACCAACCCGCAGGCTTGGCGAGACGCGAGGAAGTGAAGGCTGGGGAGTAGCGGAGCAGGACCTACCCATCCTTTTCCCTTACATTCGTTGCAGAAGTTGGTGCCGACGCCGAAGCAGCGATGGCAGGACTTGAGGACGGACGTGTGGGGGACCTGGATGACCCGGACCTCGTCCTGGAAGAGTCGCTCGGGTTCCACCTCGATTTCCCACGGGAGGGGTGCTTGTCCCTCGCCCCGCTCCTCCACCGGGAGACCGCTGTTCCACGCTTCAAACACCCACGCCACCTCTCGCATCTCCACGAACGAGTCCAGCTGATACTGAAACAATCATCCCTTCGTCACAACCAAAGACAAGTTACGAGCTATATAGACATACCGTCCGTTCCGGGCTCAGAGGCCGAAAGTTCTGGGTGGTGGAGTCGTAGCGTAGCCCCGATTGCCTCGGACGCTACGTCCAGAACTTTCGGTCTCTGAGACCGGAACGCGGGTGGTACGTTCATAACCCATAAGTGCAGCTTCTACGGCCGGAGTTTTTTTTTTCAGTGTATCTTTCGTATGAGCTCAGGTTACGCTATCAACCCGCACTTTCAGTATATCAAGGTCAAATGCTGTGATTGGTCCAAGTCATCGAATAAGCCAATCACAACACCTGATCTTGATATATTGGTGGTGCAGTTTGATCGTGTGACGATAGCTTTAGTGTAAAAGTTATGCTCGGTAGTCAACGCTCTGATCCGCCTATCAATGACTCATGACCATCAGGAGACCTTGCAATTGCAGCATGTTTGCTCCGACGATCTCAAAATTTATCATGATTCGGCAAAGTATAATTGAGGATTAAGAATTTGAACGGAACAATTTTATGGCTAAATCAGAGAATGCTTAATGAGCTGCGTTTACAGTATTTTTCATAATTTTTTTCTGATATGGAAAATTGTGGGAAAATGTACTTAAAAGTGAAAAAATCTGCCGCCTTTTAACATCATCAGGCGACGTTTCGAATTTAAACACACTTTTATTATCTAGTAGGTTAGTGATTTGGTCATAGTTATTACTAATTTTTCGTTTTAGAAACCAAGGATATTCTCATGCTCAGGTCACTCAGTAGTTTCTTCTTAAAAATGAAATCCGCCAAATTTCTGACACTGGTAAATTCTCAATTACACATGAATTATCATTAATTAGGTGAAAATCGCGTTGAGCTTTGATCTTAACTGTCTATTGGCCCTAGAAAATTAACACTTCGATCTGAGGTCCATTATCTCATTTTGTTTTAACGCCTTAAGCCCTACTCACTACTTAGCCTGCTGGCATCACATATAAGATCACATACTCTAAATAAAGAGATGAAGAAAAGTTCATCCGTAAGTTCACGGGTGCGATGCGACTATTATATTTCAGTGCGATAGAGCTATTTTGCCTAATCGCCGTGTTGTAGGCGAACAATCCTCTGTTTCACGGAGCTATAGGCTATAGGTCTGAAATACGCAACAGGGCACGGTTATCCTTTACAGAACGATTGGACAAAAATAGACCCTACGCATTCTTTTGGTCACATTCTCACATTCTGTCCTGCATGCTTCACGGTCGTGCGGTATTTTACGATCTAAGTGTGAATTTAACAATGCATAAATTTTTATATTATACAACTGCGGGTTACATGCTAGAACAGAGCATATTTACCAAGACGTTTCGGCTGGAAACACCACAGCCTACTTCATGGATAGTAAAATATATTTTAAAATTTACAAAAAAAAAAAAAAAAAAACTTAGTATAACCTTTTTAAACGAGACAAAATCAATAATGCACTTTAGTACTACATTGATACCTATAGATTCTTACACTGGAAAAAAAACACATTGGATCTAGAGTCCAGACTCTTAAAAACATCGACAAGTGAAAGTACTCTTGATTCAATCAGAATCTAGCTTAAATAAGGAACCAAGCCTCTTATTTTAAGCGGATTACGTTTTGATTCAAGCAAAAATCCGATTGAATCAAGAGTATTTTTTCTTGTCAATGTTTTAAAGAGTCTGGACTCTAGATCCAATGTGTTTTTTTCCAGTGTACGAAGCTTTTAGGGGTTATTTGCAGATAACTTTATAAATGATAGTAAATTTATTGAACCATTTTAAATGTTAGGAATATGAAGTGAACTCTCCTTAACTTTAGCGTTAAAAAGAATATCGCGTTGGGCTCACTTCTCTTTCAGACGGTGAAATTTTGGACAATAAAATTTGCTCGTTACCACTTGACTCCGTCTCTTGCCCAACCAAAAGCTCCCCTTAATAAGTTCGAAGAATCCATCCCAGAATCATTCTATCGCTCACTTTCTTTATTCCTTTCTTTCTTTCTTTCTTTCTTTCTTTTTAATTTTTTTTCTTTAATTTTTATTGCAGAATGAGCAAATTTATGGAGACGGCGCGGCGGTGACTTAATGTATAGAGCGTAATAAACACGTCATAATACTTTATGCGAACTAAAAGACGAAGTGCTTCAGAGACCAAGCCCCGTATCCGAGCAAAAAGATGCGAGCAATCAGATACAGCCTATTTTTTCAAACACCAATGAACGAACACCCAGCTTCGCAATACTTTCCACTAATTACTACTGAAATTTACGTTTAAGTGGTTTATCGATAATTTTCGTCTAACTGGGTCATCGGTTATCAAAAGCAGGATTGCACATACTCGTAATAGCGGAAAAAACAATGACAGCTTCAGACCTGCAGGCCGATTATTGAAATTTTGAGGCAACCCGATAAGACATCGAAATGCAATATATTTCATGGTTAAGATAGGGCTATGCCTTGTCTTGTCGTGCGGACATAGTTCAATAATCAGCAGCCGGATTGTTGAAACTGTAACTGGCTACGTCGGCACGATAAGACAAGGCATAGCCCTGTCTGCGCCGTGTAATAAATCGATTTTCCATTCTTGTCGTGGCGACATTTTCAACAATCAGGCTGCAGGCAGCTAGCGACCGCATGAGACGAGATTGATATTCAGCCTGGATGCAACTATCCGTGCTCGGTGGGTGTCCGTGGTGCATACGTGAAACATTGAAGGCGTTTTGGTTTCCTTTGCCCCTTTGTCCTTGCCTCGCGAACACAAGATTTGTGCCATGCGCCTGAGGTGTGAGCATAGGAAGCTAAAACGCCTTCAGTTTTTACTGTATGCAACACGGACATCCATTGAGTAAGAATAGTTGCATGCAGGCGCCAGGTAAGCGTTTGTCGGCTGATAATGAGAATAAAATCTGGAGCAAAAGTCAGCCAGTCAAGTTATGGCCGACGTTATTTTTGAAATATTATTTTTTTTTGCCAGGTTTTCTTTAAAGCTAAAATGAATATAAGAGCTGCATCAAGATCTCTAAACGGTTTATACTCGTAAAGAAAAATTTGAATATTGTCGAAGTGTCATTCAAAACTGCCGCTTTTCTACAGCTTTTTTATATTGATTAAAAATGCCCAAGGCGCGACTTCTTCGTTGAAATTACAAAGCAGGTGATAAAGCAAAGCCTCTCACTGAGATCACTTGTTAAAATCAGCATGTACTCACATTGCTGGCAGTGAGAATTCCTCATTAGTGAAATGACAACAGAAATATAAGTTATAGTAAAAGTATATACTGATAACTTTTATACATAGCCGTGAGAAAACGCAGCAAAGGACTCACATGGAATGTAGAAAAAGATTGCATATCCGTTATTATCATAGTTTTGACCGGAGCTTTACCGTAACAGGAATGTTTCGAGACATAAGACTTGAGATGAGTCCTCGCTTGCTTTTCGGCGAGATTTTCTGTCCCTGGAATGTTGGTCGAATGCCGCCAGCAATCCGCTTGTCTAAGTGGACCGAAGATTTGTATCGAGTCAGGCGGAGGTACAACCGCTGTAAGGAGACAAAGAAAAGAAAGAATAGAATTTTCTATTTCATAGAATTAGAAGTGTTCTGATAACTTAATTTCGTGCTGCGAAGAGTTTATCACAAAATGGAATGAGAAGGAGACCACGCAATTTCTCAAGATATATCATTTTAATTGTCCGTTATATATCGTTATTGTCAGAATAATCAAAGGGGGAAGAGAATAACATGACTGTCGTGCTAGGGAAAAACGCCGTATGAACATTCGAGAGTTGTCAAACTTTATCCAGTTAAATGTTTATTTGGATGTATTTCTGCCGAATGGAACTATGTGCATTAAGACATGAGCCCTGAGACCAATAAGCATATATGCATGACAGGACTTACGTCATAATGCACATAGTTCCGTTTGACAGAAATACGTACATTTTTCAGGAAAGTTAAGGCATTTTCAGACAATTTAGATCAAATTGCATTCAAAATTATCTGAGAAATTGACAGAAAAATATTAAGAAATTTTCCTATACATTAGCGATTTGTCAACGGAAATTTGGCAACGCCTGAAGATTCATACGGCGTTTTTCCTTAGCACGGCAGTTGAGCTTTATGACTATTTGTCAAATTTTATCGGCGCTCGACGATGATAAAAATCAAAAATAAAAATACACGAGAGAATCAACGGACGAACTAATTCAAATCGTGGAGTTCGTCACGATGAATTAACGCTTCTCATTCGGCTGACAAATTGCTGGAAGAGATCGGATTCATTATTATATGAAATATATGTATCTGTTCCGAAACACCGAAATAAGAGATTGCCTCGCTCTATCTGCCCCATCGGCGGCTTAATGAGCGCCGTCTTCATGGTCCATGAGGATTCGGAGACTATTTTTTGTTTTTCTCCCGTCTCAGACCAAGCTTGTCACAACGGATGATAAACAAGATTAAATTATTCCAGCCATTTTATTTCGGATCTTCATTGTTTTGTTCCTCTGCCAAATTTTCAGGCTGCGTTTTCAATTTCGAAGGGATCGTCGCGGTGGAACGAATCAGCATTATCACGTCAATCTCAGGTGAAAAGTTTTAGCGGTTCGCAATTAACTTCTTCCAAATTACAAAAAAAGGGGCAAAAATTGGGGATTTTCATTCAATTTATTGGACTCGATTTTTCAATTCCCGTAAGATCACGGCGAGCTGCTGCAGTTTGCTATCAAACAAAAACTGATTTTGGGTTTTCCTGGGAGAATGGGTCTCTTACACGCAAGAGATACAGCCAACTGAATACACGTTTTCAGTGCAAAATCTCACGAAAATCACTTTGGGCGCGCTAGAAAAGTCTAAAATTTGCTCCTTAGCAGGGCTGGATCTAACGGATGGCCACGTGGGCCGCGAATAGGGGGCGGCAAATTTTGCAATTTTCTTATATATAGGTATAAAAAAAAATCGGATTAAAAAAAAATAACAAACGAGAATAGGTGAAAAATATCTCATTTCCTGAGAGTATGGTAATTTCTAATTTTGTCATCTTTCGGTGATACAAGAGACAGCACCTTTAATTAGTCGAGTTAAGAGAGAAACCAAACGCGCAATTTGGCCTGGAAGGTGCGGCGCAGAGAGCAATGATGACGAGAACTTGAGATGAACAGGAGAAACCCTCGGCGCGGCGGTCGGCATGTAACACATATCAGCCCCTACAAGGCTGCATGAATACTTCACGCATTGCGTCAAACACAGTGCTTGCGGTCAACAGCGGTCTGCGTGAAACGCATAGCACCTACAAGACTGCGTGAATACTTTACAAATTGCGCCAATCTTATTGCGGTCTGCGCGGCGCAGCGGCGGAAGTTAAAATTATTGAATCACATTAATGTTTGTTCTTTCATAATTTTTTCGTTCATTTCTTCAAATAGAAAGCCTCGTTCACACAGAGATAGGTATTCGGAACTTAACTTTTGCGCAAAGTTTTGTGAACTTTTTCTTGTAGTGTTGACAGGGTTTTCGCAAATAATGTGTCCAACAAGAATGAACGCGTCTAATGCACCCCTCTCCCTTTGGCACGTTCACTCAATGTTTTTTATTGATGTTTCAAAACGAATGATAAGGGGGCGGCAAAATGCAGGCGGCCCATGGGCGGCAAGTTGGTAAATCCGGCCCTGCTCCTTAATGCGCAATCTGTGTGGTTTTTGACTCGCTTTTTAAAGTTGCCCACGCGCGTCTGCGAGCAGTTTTTCTCAGCCACCACCGACGACCAGGTTTGCATGGGCAGAGGAGTTAGAAAAACTAATCTCCGTGTAAACAGACGATTTCACTAACTTTTTGTATTGTATGATTTCGATCGTTTTCCAACGTCTGTTTTCTTTTTCTTTCTTTATTTTGTAAAAACAATAACCCTGAATGAATTGAAGTCTGCCGCAAGGAGAGTGTATAACAGTTCGCAAGATTGTTTGTTTATTAGGGTTGGCTCTCTCTCTCTCTCAAGGCAAACCTGACTGCCGGCTACCATGAAAAACTGCCCGCATGCGTAGTGAATTTGAAAAAGCTTAATACAAGCTACGCAGATTGTGTGCTAGGGAGTGAATTTCAGTCTTTCTTGATGTGGCTAACGTGATTTTCTAGCGAATTTCCCCATGTGTAGTGTATCCACTATCCAGTTGGACGTATTTCTTGCGGGAAACATGTACCAATTCTGATTTTTCCAGATTATACCGAACTGATTAAGATGAGTGGTGGCCATTTTCGAAATTAGCGCCACGAACTGATACGTTATCAGCCCTTGACCTTTTGGCAAACGCAAAATGTCATGTTCTTAGCTACGCCAATGAACAGCTAAGGTTCTCCTTAAATAATATTTCCTCTAATTCCTCGTCGATGTATGCGTCTCGACTGGAGTGATTTGCAAAATGTTTTTGCTGCAGTGGAGAGCGATATCCAGGAAAGTGCGTTATTTCTGCTAAATTGAATCGGTTCCTGTGAGATGGGCGTACAATAACTCATGAGCCCTAGCGATCTGCGTGATCAACGAAAGCCAGGGCTCATGATTTTTTGGACTTACGCCCGTCTGACAGAAACAGATTTAATTATGATAAGGAGGGAGTGGAACCAAACGTTGTTTTGAGAGGGCAGAATTTCATTCATTTCTCTTTATATTTTTGTTTTTTGCTTATTCGATTTATAGTATCTGTATAGTAATGGGATAATTTTTTGTCTTTATTAAAATGAATTTTAGCAATTAATCAACTATCCTCAGAAATTGCCTCCTATTAAGGTAATAAAAACCAATTTTTTAACTCGCAAGAGTGTGAAAACACATTCCTTCGCTTTCCAAACCACGCTTTTATTCTACAATGGTACTTACTCGATTCGAATGTTAACTCCTCATATCCCTCAACACTGTCAGACGGATCCAATTGTGGAAGACCTGGGGCCGCAATGCTGTCGTCCCAGCCAGCGCCATGGCCTGTGAAAGATACATTTCCATGAAAGCCCGTTGTTGATGACGATGGAGCATTGATAAATTGATAAACAAGAAATAATTATGAAGGGATCTAGAATTATTCCTGCACAATGGAAGCATGCATTGAGCTGTTTCTATAATTTGGTATGGGTTAAAAGCTCGGTTGCAAGACCTCAAGATGTGGTTCATAGAACCGAGCGTATGGTTACGAGAACCGAATGGTACAGTCATAAACTGTCTCGCCAAGGAAGAACATCGTATGAACCTTCGGACGCTGCCAAATTTCCATTAATGAATAGTCAAACATTTTAGGGAAATTTGTGAATAATTTGCCTTCAATTAGTCAGAGAATTGTATTCGCAATTTGCTCGAAAGGATCTACAAACTTTAGGATGAAATATTCATGACATTTCTCAAGACCTAATAGTCCGTTAGGAGAAATTTTGCATTTTCAAACTGTTCGACATTTTCTCTCAGCAGGCAGCGTAGACCACCGTGCTTACAGTTCATGAGATCCGAACCCTTTTTTTGGTACAGATGAAGCGTACGGGAGTATTCCATAAAATCATTTGGGGAGAGCAAAGTACCCAAAATATCAAATCATGCCGGAGTTATGGCGGCAAGAAATTTGCATTTCAAAAAACCCACTTATGGGGGGAAAATCATTTTGACTAAGTCCCCGTTTACCATGCTGAGGGCTCTAAATTTCAGGATTTGATTACTTTACGCCCTCAGGATTGATACTCTACGCCGTAAATTGATACAAAAATTATCAGAACCGATTGTCATTAACTCTATACCGAATGTCAAAGAGTTTCCCGGCAGAAATCCAATTTTGTGTTCTATATAGTTTGAAAAAATCGCTACCGTGAAATTTTTGCCTCCGCGGACTAAAGTAAAGACCCTTTAATCCACAGGGTGATCCAAAAGTTCCGCACTGCCCCTGCAACCTCTGAAATTCTTGCCCTTTTTTAGTCGAGGGATCCCTTCGAAAAAAATTTTGCGGGGAGGGGTTGGGCTCTAAACGTCGTTTCTTTTGCCTCAGAGCACTCACAGAATTTCAAGTCGCTATCTCGATCAGTTCAAAAGTTACAGGGATTACTGGTGCTGATGGTGCGACATTTTTGGATCACCGTGTGTAAACAAATTCAAGGTCTTTCAGACTTGTGATCACGCTCACGTAATCATACTTGTAAATCACCGTTTCGATGCACAAAAGTGCAAGTTGCATACTCTCAAAAGTGTAAGTATTTGACTTATGTTTATCTTCTACAAGATTATAAGAGTACCGCCTAACGCACAATACTTGAGTCACAAAACTCAATTTTAACTACAAAATTCACTTAAAATCTTATTGTCTGCCATTTCCCTCATCGCGCCCCTCCTATTATATGGCCCTTGATTGAGTTATACCTCATCCAGCAATACTTGATTTCAACCCTAGTAAAAATTGGCTACAGCTGCGTTCCAAAATATCAAAGGAATTCTTTTAGCTGGCTACAGATGGCGATAGAAAGCTATAGAAAATCATACAGTCGGATTATACGAAGCTATAAAAAAGTACACAGTCTAGCTATATAGTTTATCGCTTGGCTATAGCTCTTATAGCTGTTGGCTATATCCTCATCACCATCGGCTATAAAAGACAGTAAGAAATTGCACAGCCGGCTACAGGAAGCTTTAAGAAATCTTAAAATCGGCTAAAAGTCTATGGTCTTTTGGAACACGGATCCTATAGCCAACTTTTACCAGGGAATGTATAGGCTGGACTGCGGGCAGCCAGAGGGAATAAAATATTTTATAAAAGAGTTAGGATCATAGATATCGACCTCCTTCAAAATGATTCGCATTTACTTATCAAAGAAGATAAATGCGCACAAAACCATACATAAGTAAAAATCGACGAAGTTATTGAAATAAATGCATGACAGCGGCTTTACTTACGGTGATACCGCATCCCTCAATTAGATTGATCACATCCAGGTGGAAAAGCTCATCGGTGAAAAACAAGAATTTATCGACATTTAAATGAACAAAAGCGTATTTTCCTTGAAAAGATTACACTCGCGCAATTTTTTCACCAGGAACGAAACATATCCTCATTAAGGTATTTAAGCGGTGGGTATATCACTGGATCACAAGAACTAGTTAGAACTAGAACTACCGTTACACTTACATACGATGGTTATTGGGGAAATTAAAATATGGACGAGCAAAGCTCACGATTTACTGGCAAAAATTCGGGAAACCGAAAGGAGCTTTCGATCCGAAACGCCTAGTGCCTATGAACATGCCTTAATTCAACAATAATACAAAAACCAGTATCTCGTTTTTCAACAGTCAAAATCCACTTTCCAGCTTTGAATCAATCGGGAATAACTGACTCTTTAATATTTGACGTTACTTCATACTTTCCTTCCCGAGCAACTGTTTTTATTTTTTTTTAATATTTTAAATTCCTTCCAGGCGACCAGAAGAGGCGGCCACCACAAGAACAATGCAACTAATATTAACACGTTTCCTCCCTCGAAATCACGAACCCAAAACAAAACCAATCGATACAATCATTTCCCACAATCGAAATGGATTTTTCAGAAACAGCGCATGTAACAATAGACGACAAAGGGGAGTCAATCGTTTTTTCACCGTTTTCCCACACCGGAGCCAGGGATCTCGGATCCACGGACAGGAAGAACCGGGACTGACGGTGAGATTCGGGAGGTGGTTTATAGATGGGCAATTAATAGGCCCCCC